TTAGGAGCTGGATGGAGCCAGCCTGCTGATCACAAAGGCCGTCCCTTTTCCGGGCCTTTGCCGGAGCACCTCTCCCTGGGGGCGGTTCCCAGGCAAGCATCCATTGACCATTCATGGACTGAGAATCCGTGTTTACTTCGGTTCCTTTGTCTGGGGCGCTGGACCCCGCAACAGCCCTTATCCAATCGCAGGCAGAGCAAATCCGCCCCTGGGGAGACTTCAAGAGCTCCACTCCAGCCCTGGGGTGCTGCAGAGGGGACTGGTCTTTGGAAGACTTGCACGGGGTGGTGCTGAAAGTCCTGGCCAGACACGCCCGCTAGTGGATCTTCTAGCCTTTCTGCTCAAGACACCCTCTCTGGCTCAGACCTGGCCCTCCTGCACCTGCTGCTGTGGCAGCCGTGGAGACCCTCCTCTCACTGGGCTAGTGCGCCCCAGGCCGCGGGGGGACGGCTGTCCCGAGTGCATGCCTGCTGAGGAAGCCAACAGGAAGATCCACCCGCGCCAGCCAGCTACAAAGGAATGTTTGTTTTGCTGGGAGGTGGCCCTCGGCCAATCAGAAACCTTAAAGAGACCCCGCCTCCCACACCTCATTGCACCTGTTCCAGGGTAAGGGCATTCCTTCAGCACTCTCTAGGTCATGGGTTCCCAAACTGGGGGGCGTGCCCCCCTGCGGGGGGGGGGGCGGGCGTGAAGAAATTCCAGGGGGTGCAAGGCGACCCAGCCTCCCGCCCCCATCAAGTTTTGCTGCCCCGCTCAGTTCCTTTTTTTTTTTTTTTTTTTAACAATACTGCTTTTTTGGGGGCGGGGGGCGTGAGGGTTTTTTCAAAAATCAAGAAGGGGGGCGTGATGCTGAAAAGTTTGGGAACCACTGCTCTAGGTCCACACCAGCCACTGCAGCATGGGAGCGCACGACCAATCAGCTGAACTGTCTATTCCACAGCTGACAACACCCCTCCCGCCCATTCCTGTCTCCGCAACACACAACTCAGGATAACAAGGACCTTACGGGAGGGACGTGGGGAATCTTCCGCTCTTTAGCAGCTAACGCTGGAACTAATGAGGCTTGATGGGCTCCAAGTCATGCGGAGTATGTGAAAGTGGCTCCTTCTGCCCTCCCTGTCAAACAGCTCGCTCCTCAACCAGACCCCCCTCCAAACAGCCCCTGCTCTTCAAAAGGGAGAAGCGGGGAAGCACCTTGCATCCTTGCTGTTTGCCCCAGGCATATCAGATGACAAAAGCTGCTCCTCTCAGCCCATTATTTTGCAGCCCTGATAGGATTAAAGCTGCTCTCATTAATTTTTAAGGTTCCAGCACCCAAGATTAATTATCTCTTGCTTCTCGCTGGAGCAAAAAAAAACTATATAGAAAACCCCATTCAGCAGACACACTGCACAATGAAAAGGTCACCATGTGATTGTTAAATGAAGTGGCTTAGATGGATGCAGGATGTAACCTACCCGTTGGTCTCTGGGTGTGCTGATAGTATTTTACACTATGCAAGTCTCATGTTCCCGCAGAGTGCAGTGTTGTAGCCTCTCTCTGCGTGATGAGACCCCCGAATCCACAGCAGACCCTGGATCTGTAGAAGGTCTGATGCTGGTAGGTTCATCCAGGGGCGTTGCATGTGTGAGAATTCCCGGAGATAATCGGCTCTGTGGCCTGCAGGCCAGAGCAGAACCACAGTTCAAGTGATTCGGTCAGGAGTGGAGGGGCAGAGAGAAGCAGATTATTTGCCCAAGTTTTTGGTACTATTGTAAATTTCCAGCTGCCAGTCCAAGTTACCAGACGCCAATGAGAATTAGCCTCAGTAGAACAGGCCAAAAAAAGGCAAATTGTTTTTTCTGGGACCGTTATGGCACTTTTATCCTGAGTTTTTTCAACAAAGAAACCCAAACCAATGAGAAAAATAAAATGTGACAATGTGAAAACCAAACAGATTTTCAGTGTGGTTGGCTTCTGGTGAAAAAAATGCTCCATTTTAGAAAATCAAAAACATTTACCCTCCACAAAGTTAGATTTTGATCCATTGATGTGTGTGTGTGGGTGTGTGTGTGTGTGTGTGTGTGGATGGCATGGCAGCAGTTTCTAAAACACCCCTATCCTTTGCAGGCGTCACAAAGTTAATTGTGCACAACAGACAGAGCTCTCACATAGAATCATAGAACCATAGAGCTGGAAGAGACCTCAGAAGGTCATCAAGTCCAGCCCCCTGCTCTAGGCAGGACCAATCCCAACTCAATCAACCCAGCCAGGGCTTTGTCAAGCCGAGACTTAAAAACACCTCTAGGGATGGAGACTCCACTACTTCCCTAGGCAACCCATTCCAGTGCTTCCCCACCCTCCTAGTGAAATAGTTTTTCCTAATATCCAACCTGGACCTCTCCCACCACATAGCTCCTTATTCTGCCATCTGTCACTACTGAGAACAGCCTCTCTCCATCCTCTTTGGAACCTCTCTTCAGGAAGTTGAAGGCTGCTATCAAATCCCCCCTCACTCTTCGCTTCTGCAGACTAAACAAACCCAGATCCCTCAGCCGCTCCTCATAGGTCATGTGCTCCAGCCCCCTCATCATTTTGGTCGCCTTCTGCTGGACCCTCTCCAATGCGTCCACATCCTTTTTGTAGTGGGGGGCCCAGAACTGGACACAGTACTCCAGATGTGGCCTCACCA